ATTTAATATTCAGACAGAACGTACAGAGTATGTAAATGTATTTTCTGTTATTTTTTATCAAGTCACATTAATAGTTAAACTGTTAATAATTAAATTAAAAGTTAATAGTTAAAATAAATAAGTATTTTTTTCAACAATAATTTTGCCACAATACAGGCTTTGAAATCAGGCGGTCGTGTGTGAAATGTGCGAAGTTCTATTATCATTTATTATATTAAATAAATATTTAAAAAAAGAAACAAGCTTTTGTAGCTAGCCGAACTAAAAAGTAGGAAATAATGATCTGTAAGTTCAAAAAGAAAAATCATTTTATAGTAAAAAAGCGTGACAACTCCCGCATTACGAATATGTCTTGTGTCCCGGGGGACTTTACAAACATACATGAAACGGACACAAAGAACACCCACACTCAGAACAACAATTTGTGGATCACACAAAGTGTCGTCCCATGTGGGGTTTGAACTCGCAACACTCGGCGTAGTAGAAAGCGACGTGGCATCCGCTTAAACAACTACGCCATCCGTGCAGTCTACGCAATTGTTCCTAGAACTAGGATATACTATGACTTCGTACTTTATTGAGTAACAGGTTAGTTAGTTAGTTTAGTTTTTTTTTCTTTACTTTATTTAGTGCCCCTTTTCGACGGGACGACCACCGGTATGCAGTAATATTTTGACTTCAACTGTAGGACGGACTTCAAATGGAATAGCGATCTACCAAAACGGTTCCACTCTACCTAAATTTTAATGTTCTACTATTCAACCAATATTTCAATTATTAGTATACATCTAACTACAGTACTATATATTGCACCGAGTTTAAATAAACACATCCCAAACAGATAATTAACAGTGAACCAAAAAATCTGCTTAGATAAATTAGAAAATAAAGGAAAGCCGTTTTCCATTATTTATTTAGTAATAATATGCATGTCCATTAATGATAATACTCGTATAGTAATAGCCGAATCGTATCATACCAAGAGAAAACTTTAACAATGTTACGGTGAAAATGTCTCCAGGATAAAACTACAGTAGCTTTTTCTTTTTCTTACAGAATATCTTATTTAGATAAAAAAAATTGCGTTTACATTTCTTTTTAGTGAACGCATTTTGATCAGTTTTTCTGTGTTTTCAGAATTAAAAAAGTGGAATTCGAAAAGTGACCCTTTATGGATTATATAAAGTGTGGTGCAATATCAGCTGGTACATGCTTTTTATAAAAAAAAACTATACATAAAGTATAAAAAATAGAACTACATCTTAAATCGTAAAAACAGAACCTTATCGACTTGCATAAATTATATATTACATAAATTTACATCTTGCATTTACAAAAGGCAAGGATTTTAGAATAAGTTTTTGATTTTATTTTTTAAATTATTTTATAAACCTTGTAACGGTAGTGTATGAATAGCATCAATAGCAGAAAAACATTAAAATTTCAAATAAACAGGAAAAATATAAATATCTAATCTGCACAGATCTCGCTGGTATGTACTCGTAGGTGTTTCACTTCTGAGCACTCAATTTGTAATTTTGTTCTTAGGTTTTTGATTTGGAATTTTTGTCTACTGAGTCTAATTATGCCTCCGACAAGTCTTTGTGTTTCTATCACTTTTTCTATTTGTTAATATGAGAATTTTAAAAAAAAGAAGGAAGAAAGTTACAATGATTGTTAATATATAACTAATCTTGTTATCTTACAAACAAACAAAAAAATTAAAATTTGTATAATTTTTTGCTTGATGTGGTCGCCTGTTATTAGGGAAGCACACTAACTCGACCATTGTAAATCTATACTAACTTTTAAACTTTCGCGTTCCATGATAATTAATATTATTTAACGGGAATTAACGCGATCTCTTATTTAGGGTATTACATACCTCTGGTTTGCCTGACGTTTCGACCAGGTTGCACCGGCCGTGGTCACAGGCTGACTGGCTGGTATGTAATACCCTAAATAAGAGATCGCGTTAATTCCCGTTAAATAATATTAATTATCATTGTAAATCTAATATATAATATAGCATGTAAAGTATATTCCTTGTTGGTGATCCGAATTAATGAAAAAAATAAAATGAAAAAAGATGTTGTGAGTTAAAATCAAGTGGGTTGTGTTTTTATGCAACCAACATATATATATATATATATATATATATATATATATATATATATATATATATATATATATATATATATATATATATATATGTATCAACAATAGATAACGTTCATTACGATGAACTGAGAGCAATATAATGGACGAAATAATTTTTTACGTCGATTGCAAGATTCACAAATTACGTTTCATTTTATGTTTTTGTAAAAATTTTATGTTTATTCCAACGACGTACATCTGTTTAAGATAATTTGCGAACGCCAACAAAGTTCAGTATCAAAGCGGTAATTAAAGAGAACATTAAAAGTGAAACGGAACCTCAACCTTTAATTGCGGGGGCTGGTTTCTTTCCTTATCGCAATTTTATTACAATGACAATACGCAACACCACGCCTATTAAATTATTTGTTCTCCAGTGTAGAGATGCGGCGGTGTTACGCTAAAATTACGTATTGTACAAGAAACATTCTCTGTAAATGGTGTCAAATCATCCTTGTTTACGGTACAGTCGGGATGAACAGTGATATAAATCATAATATTCGTAACGAGCGTAAGTCGTCGACGTCTTTTCAACGTTTCCTCTATAATTCAAATGCGGCCTGCTCAGCAGAAAAGTTGAGCTTTCCGCACATTTTAAAACGTAGGTTTACATTACGTATGTGTAACGTATCTGCAACATAAATTCATATATTTTAGAAAATTTTATTCCTTGATTTATGAATAGGAAATATAGGTTTTTTTTAATAAAAATGTATTTGTTAGCTTGCCGCAAAATAGACGTATCTTTCCTAACCAGTATAGATTTCTGTTAGAAAACTTAAAATTTAACTGTGGGTATATATTCCGAATTAAAGACAATACGTTCATTTATCCGTGGTCATAAAGGTCAATAATTAATTTTGATTTTTCAGCGTTTTGATCGACTTACATCAATAATCGCGCTTGTGGTCCGTTAAATTTAAGGTTTAATCAACATTTCATCCTGCACTTGATCCCCACTACGCCCACTTTCTAAAGAATTAAGACTGTAACTGTAACTTTGGACAAGTTAGTAGTGCATATTGTTTTTTTTATCTCATAAGGAGATACAGCCTTAGATGTTTAGGAATTACAGATAAACTGTGAGCAACACCTAATAAAAATCAGACTGTAGGAATACAACTTCAGGCGACAGGAAATAAATTGTTGAAAGAGTCTTTCAGTCTTTGCGATCTAAGTTGGGCTTTAATAGAAAGAAGATGATGATAATATGTTTTATACTCTAGAGAAAATTTATTGTTCAATTACAAAGTCTAAAGCTTCGACTGCTTGTCGTTAAAGTTATAATAAAAAAATCTTGATTTGCTGTTAGTAAAAATAAAACGCATGAAAAACCTTAAACCATGGAAATCATCACCTAAATTTATTGAAAACGCTAAGAATTTTTACTTGCAAATACCGAACGTTTTCGAACGCAAGCTACAAAGCATAACACAGTCGGATTATGAATAATAGCGTGAGCCCACTCGGCACATGATATATTATACTTCTATGTACGTTTATATCTTCCATGCTTGTAGTCTAACATATCAAAAATTCATGCTCTAAATACAGAGGTCGAGCACATACTTGGTAGTCTTTTATTGCTCACCACACGTAAGCAATCTTGAGGACTGAGGGTATACTGTTCCATTTTAGCTGTCCGCTCCTATTCCACCGAAATATCATATTCAAGTATCATTGAGCAGTTTCCGGATTTTTCATCTTTTATGAACCTAGACGCTGATATTTTATTGCAGATTACGTTCTTGTATAACTTTTATTTTGAAAATTTTATTTTATCTATGGTTTAACAACATGGTACTCATAGCAGCTCAATTTTTTTTATCATGGTCATATCAGGGACATTGGTTTGTTTCTAGCAAAGTCATTTTACTAGTAAAAGTATGGAAACAAAATAGTTTATATAAAATAATGATGTTTTTTGTTTTTAATTATTTGATAAGAATTCTGAGAATCCTGTTGACAATTATACAGTACTAGAAATCGATAGGATCGAAAAGTTTCCATAAAGACAGCGATAAGCTTAATCAGAAGACAGTAGCTACTAATTCATTAATTGCAGTCATTTAAGAATAAGTGTTTTAAAGGAAATAAGATCGTTTGGAACAGACGTAAGACGTTTTAAAACAATGCGCATCATTCAAATATCCCATTAAATCTTGCGATTTAACTCGCAGGAGCGGGTTCGGGTAAATTAGGCAAATTAAGAGCCGTTCCTGAGACAGTAATTATGGCGCGTCGGTAGGTACTTGGCCACCGACCAACTACGCTGTTTACTCATCTCTACTACATCCTCGCCCGATTTATGAGGGACTTGATTTTCCGATTTTCGAGCGTAACTCAATTGGTACAAACCCCATGGGCATGCTATGGATTATGAATGTTATCGTAGGCGAGAGCTGCATTTGCGGCCCTCAAAGATTTTTGCGCTGATGAATTTTTAGAAAATTATTTACTTTTTAAACGCCTCGGTATCCTTGTATTCAAGAAGATGCATCAAAAATGTAGACTCAATAATAAAATAATCTATACGGTTTAAAAACTTCATTTGTCTTCGTACACGATTTTTTTAATCAGATAATATAATAAAAGTGCACGCCATTAATAGAACGAAAATTGTATATTAAAATACATAAACTGGCTACTGATAAAAGTATTGCAATAACGAGATAATTTATATTACAAATGAATTCTTGCATGAAAATGCGTTTAAGTAAGTTTTAAATCGGCCTAATTGAAAAGTTTGAAAGCGATGTCACAACTTTGCTAAAACCTGGGAGTTTCACTTCGGTATTTTGGCAGCTTGAGGGTAACGTAATGGTACAATATCTGTCAAAATGTCAAGAAGCGTAACAAAATGCCACGTTATCAAGAGAAACAGCTGTAGTGCAGGCGCGTGGGCGGGCGGCGACGACTCGCTTAGGCCTATCGACTCGGCCGCCCTCGCGCGTGCACTCACTCACCTCAAGGTCACCGCCGACGACGACCATCACCCGATCATACGCCCGAGCCCTACGCGCAAGCGACCCCCCTTACATTTCAACTACCTACTTTAAAAATTTAAAGTAACCCTCGTCCTTCCGGCACATTTTCCCGGGTGAGGGCGACCGGCGCCCGTTCAGTCCCTGAGAAAACTGACGGACGTCGCCGGTCCTCTACGCGTTATATAGGCAAAGGAGGGGCGGGGCGTCGGCGCGAGTTGCGCCGTCGATTCGCGAACTCGATAAATAAATTAATTAAAAGTGCAAGTGAGTGATCGCCCGCGTGCAACCTACCTGCGAACTCGTCTAGAGCTTCCCCTTAATTGGAATTTCAGACCCACCAGATACTTGGTTAGAGCATGGATTGTTTTCTAGTCGAGGATTTACGAGCCACTCGTAGGAAGGTCTTTGGATGGGGCATCGAACGAGCCGAGTCCAGATTGAACCTGATTTATATCATCCTGCTGCACAACCTCTTGTCGCCCGATGTTTCAATTTGCGCTAAGATACAATTTATAGTGTGGCACTTTTATACTAAACCTGAATACTGGTTGCATTAAAACAGTATACAAATTAGTTTCACTAAAGCTTCAAATTACAAATCAAGTAATTACTTTACTGAGCAATCCTAAATGTAGAAGAAAATAGAAATGTTTGAACCAAAGTCAAATGCCGAATAATAAAATAGGAAATGAAATTAAAAAAAAACAGTTAATAGACGTCAGATCTTACCACGGATACATTTCTTTTTGTATCTCTAAATTAATTTAAAACAAGTTTTAAGCAATACTTAAAACTATTTCTAAATTATTGTAATTGTATTTATAATTTCTATTACAAAAGAAAATAAATTTTCTTCAACACATCCACGAACAATAACATTGGTCAGTTGTGATACAAAATCCAGATAGCGAAGTAAGAACTAGCAGCAATAATAATAGAAAATAGAAAAAGAAAATGAGTTTGTGTAAGTTAATCACTTCGTCGCTGCTCCAGTAACGTGAACCTTCGGCTTCTAGGAAAGCTGATTGCCACGGTGACGTCATAGTAAAAATAGAGTACTGGTGTGCCCAATGCGTAATATAAGGCTTTTCTGGACGAATGACAGGCACGTGCTCATTTACGGCCCATATAAGTTTTTGGAATGTCAGGCAATTTGAAATTCTATATGTAGAATGGTTCAATGGCATTTTTAACGAGGATAAAAAAATTAAAAGGATAAAGGAGGAAGGAAAGGCTTATTTGTCGATATCTATCATTTGAGTTTTTTATTTAATTGATCAAATTAAAGTTATATAGCTAAGAATCACATTTTAATATCAAACATAGAATGGTATATTTGTTATTTATATTCATTTATATGTTTTTACTTAAGTGTGATTATACTATAACAAATTAAGTGAAATTTATGATTACTTCTTGTTCTATATTTCATTTTTCTTATTACCTATTGTGTTGTGTCTGTGTGTTCATAGCGGACTAGTAGATTACGAGTTTATTTATTAGCTTCAAATAAATTTCAAAGAAATTATAATAATTGTGGAGTTAAACTTGTGAATAAAGTAGTCTCAGATCAATTGATACATGAAGTTTGTATGCATGTTAGATATTTATAATTAAAAAAAGGATAACATACAAGATTACTATTTATTGTATTTAGAACTTAGACAAATCATCATCACCTCAGCCTATGCTTGTCCACTGCTGGACATAGGCCTTAGACATATACATATCTTTAATTTCTCATAGGTCACTAAAACGCTTCGAACAACGTTAGCACAGAATGTTAATAATGTGGATAGTTGATATCTTCAAAAAAATATATATTAATAAGATTGAATTTTTGCCGTTAACTCTAGGGACAGCACTCTAATCATGGTATACTTTATATAACCGTCTATAATAATCTAATTCTGGAGTCAATCCTTTGCAAAGAAACAGGTCATGCCTGTCACAAAGAGGCATAGTAATAGAATATGGTTTTAATACAGATTCTGAGACTTCAAGATTCCAAGATATCCAAATTTAAAATAAACAAATATTGTTAGTGGAATAAAAGCTTTTAGAACTATGCTCTTATAAAGCGACGTTAAAGTTAAAATTCTTGAATCTTTATTAACTTTCAGAGGATAAAACCCGTTATTGTGGTTGAAATACTTATTAGATTACTTTAGTTTAAAAGTCTTTGACTAATATCTGCAATAAATCTATTATTATTTAATAAATATTATTTTATGTACATTAAATTATGTACATTTATACATTAAATTTTCTTTACTATTTTCCAACACCATGTAGTTTTTAAAACTTTTTGTAACAATTATTAAGGCTTTTCCATCATGTTGAATCCTCCACAGGTTATCACCTCAACGGGCCTAGTAGTAAAGCGGTATTACGGAACTGAAGCGACTAAAACCAGTGTTCCATCTCGCTTCTCTTCTCGATCCCCGAGAGCAAAACTAATAAAGACTGAAATATTTACCACCGTGTTACGTTTGTAAAAAGCCTAAATAAAGAAATATAAACTAGATACAGGATTCAAATATTATATGACTAATAATCCCCTACATTAAAACTGACAACATTGCCAACTTCAAATATTTACCTCAATATTTTTTATCTATATCAGATATCTGCTTTTCAACTTTCATGGTGCCTTCGTTTAATATTGAAGCTGTGCCTGTGTTAATGAACTGATACCCAGATACAAAAATGTATTTATTTGTAATATTTAGTTAGTCAAATGATACCATAAAAATTATGTTTACTTGTATTGCCAAAAATACCTACAAACTACGCAAAGAAAAACATAACCTACAGAGGAGCACAACTGTGTAACAATTTGCCGACTGAAATAAAAAAAGTTGCTCGTTTAGCGTTTTTAAATCTCATCTATCAAATCATGTATTAGAGAATTACTCCCAATAATTAGTTAAACCTGTTATAATTTTGGCTGAGAATAAAATCGCTGAACGTGTAACTATAACATAAATTTTAAGCAATAAATACCTACTGCTGTTTCGGTGACCATTAGAATAATAATATCACAATATGTTATTTTATATTCTTTAAGTGGCTTTTTTGTCTTTTTGAGAATAAATTCTTTAAACCTATGTTTCTTTAATTTGTAATCTTTAGAATCGATAATCTTTACTTCGTTCTTCGTTTGACTTTCTTTAAAAATTATAAGATTGACAGGATACTTTACCGACTACCTAAGATAATTGGAGTTGGAAAATTTAAAAAAGAGTTTTGACAGTTGAATATTGAAGCTAAAACACGACATTAAACTAACAGAGGTATAAACTGTAGTCCTTCAGTAGCTCAGATATTAAAGACATATCGTTCGTGCATCATGTCCTTGCCCAATAAGGAAAACATCTTGGAAAATTCCTTTAACTGTAACTCGACACAACTATAAGACGAGATAACTCGGGCATAGCTAAGAGAGCGTGGGAACCTTCTGACGTTAAATCATGAATTTTTAATAGAGAACTGCAAGACGCTGATTTCTTTTGTCTTATTCAATTTTTTTTAAGTTTTTCTGCTAGAAACCAAAGACTTTTCTATGCTTCAAATATATTACCTGATTCTAATTTAAAGAAAAGCTCCATTAAATTAAGTTTTATATAAAAGTTTCAAGATGGAAATCGTTCCTATTTTCGGTACTCTTTAAATTTTTCATTAGTTCTTAACTGCCTAAAGCGTCATATAATTTTATACATATATTAAAACTGTCTACATAAGCTGTCATTTTGACGTTTAATAAAAAGAAACTGATATGACTTTACAGCCAACTATCGTAATGCGTCGGTACAAGGATTGACAAATTTAATTTAATTATATTAGCAATACATACTACACGAATTATAAAGACTTACGTACATAAGGTCATATCTCTTTCCTTGACCCGTCAATAGGCATAGGCAAGGAAAAAAGTATTGCTATTGACAATATTGCTCTATGGTCATTAGATCTATCATGCGATCGACTTGGAACTTAACTACATAAATATAAATTAGATTTAATTTATTATAGAATCAATTTTAGTTTGGACGTCGACTTCATCAAAATATTTATTTTTAATAAATTAAAATTAAAATCATACTAATCTTATAGACAAAAACCTTACTTTTAAGAATATCATTCCAAAAACAATGTAAGTTGTTAGATTTTACAAACGTTAAAGATATGAGATATAGAGAGAGAAATATAATCTGTAATCAAGTTTATTATTTTCATATAATTTACTATGAATAAACTTTTGTTAAAAAGATCTGATTAATAATGTCTTCTGACATAACAAGCGATTTCTGAGGCGATTTAGCACAGCTAACGATTAGGATATACTAGCGCGTTAGGGAAACTAAGTGAATGTAAACTTTAATATTATCCTTGCTAAGTGGTAACCGAGTAGGTTAACATATATTATTGCAAAGTTCAGCTATCCTAGCCAGGTCAGTCTATGGATGGGCGACAATTCTTAACACATTGAGACCCTCCGTGCCTCGAAAAGCACGTTAAGCCGTCGGTCCCGGTTGCCATACGAACATTTGTGGCAATCGTTACGTTGCGGATCAGACTGTCGTGTGTGAGAAGTTATTAAAAAAATAAATGAGTAAATAAAATTGTGTAATTCTTTTCTTCTTTCTTGTAGACAAGATTGGTTTGGTCGAAGCACAATAAACAACAAACTAGAGATTTACGTTGGTGCACGGGGTAGATTGGACATTCCCCATAACGGATTACGGGCTTAGTGGTTACACGTGTCTGTGCATGTGTACACTCGTGTTAATTAAACTCGATTCTGATTTCCATTCGGATATGACCTCAAAACGATTTAGTTTTGTTTAGTTAACTATTGATTATTTAGCCAGGTTTATGGCAGGTAGAAACAAACTTACATTTTGAATTCAATACAAATATATAAAATAAAATAAGAATAAAATATATGTATATATATATAGGGTAGTGGAGAGAACTAAAAATGTAAGTACAGGTAATTATGACTCGTGAAATGAAATAGTACCGAAAAGGTATACAAAATGGTGGCATTATAACAAATGTAACTTAAA